TCATAGCAACCCCCAATGGGTTTCTGAAGCAGGAAATCTTTACAGAAGTAGATTGCCTTGTCTTCCTTCCATGAAGCAGCTAGTGGGTTTGAACTGCCAATCTTCTGGTTACCAGTCAAATGGCTTAGGCACAACATGATAGTTACTACACACAACCTTAAAAGCTAAACCACAAAGCACTTGGACAACAGCAAGTAAGCAAGCCAAGAACCATTTGGTTCTCCCTTCAGAAAATTTTCCAAGAGACTAGAGAGAAGGTCTTACTCTATCAGTCAACTGGAGAGGCTTCCAGTCATGATCCCTTGGTCCTCGCCAGGCTGACCAACCTCAACATGTCTGCATCCTGAGAATATGTTCACTTGCTCACTCAGACACAAGGAATGACCAGAGTGTCCTAGAGGCTCCTGGCTGGGCTGCCATCACTCAAAATCTCACTTGGAAAAGCTGACACTCCAACCAATACACGCACATCCAACGAAAGGAGACCCAAGGCAGGATTAGGACGGGCCGCTACAAAGCTGTCCTTTTTACAAGTAAATCAAGTCCAATGAGACCGCCTCTACTTACTAGTTAGCAACATCAAGATAGCTGGAGAAAAGACTGAAGTTGTCAGGGATTTCATTTTACTTGGATCCACAATCAACACCCATGAAAGCAGCAGTCAGGAAATCAGATGTCGTATGGTACTGGGCAAATCGGCTGCAAAAGACCTCTTTAAAGTATTGAAAAGCAAAGATGTCACTTTGAAGACTAACATGTGCCTTATCCAAGCCCTGGTATTTTCAATCGCCTCATATGCATGTGAAAGCTGTACACTGAATAAGGAAGACCGAAGAAGAGCTGATGCCTCTGAATTGTGCTCTTGGTGAAGAATAATAAAAACACCATGGACTTCCAGAAGAACAAACAGATCCGTCCTGGAAGAAGCACAGCCAGAGTGCTCCTAAACAAAAAACAAACCCACTGCCGTCAAGTCGGATCTGACTCACAGTGACCCCTCCTTGGGTTGCCAAGGCAGTATCGCTACAGAAGTAGATTGCCCGACCTTCCTTCTGAGGAGTCGTTGGTGGGTTTGAACCGCCAGCCTTCAGGTTAGCAGTCAGATGCCTTAGGCATTACGCCACCAGAACTCCTAGAGTGCTCCTAGGAAGCGAGAACGGCCAGGTTTCGTCTCACCTACTCTGGTCACGTTGTCAGAAGGGACCATTCCTGGAGAAGGATGTCATGCCTGGTAAAGTGGAGGGTCAGCGAGAAAGGAGAGGGCCCTCAACGAGATGGACTGACACAGTGGCTACAACGATGGGCTCAGCAGATTGGGAGGCTGACGCAGGACCAGGCAGGGTTTCATTCTGTTGTGTATATAGGGTCGCTATGAGTCAGACTTGACTTGACAGCACCGAACAACAACTTACTATTTTGGAACCTCCTTTTTCCCCCAAAAAAAGAAAGATCCCAAGCTCGAATGTCACCTCCTACTTCACACCCTACCTGACCCCTTTGGTTAGAATTCATCCCTCTTCCTTCAGCACTTGGCTTATAGGAACCACACAGCACCTTCTATTTACTGAATGCTGGAAAGGACCTCGGTCCCAAGCCAGGTCCAGTGGGGAAGGGGAGACATCTCCTGTCCTAGGGAACACACCGTCTAGAAGGAAAGATGAAGCATGGGTACAGGTAACGGTACGAAGGACAGACAGTGGCAGATGCTGTAAGAAAGGGACACATTCAGGTGCTGGTGGAGGCAAGCTATGACCGGGGAGGCCGAGATGCCATCGTGCCGTGGAAGCGTCTGAGCCAAGCCGTGAAGGGCGGGCATGGCTTACACATGCAGAAACAGAACAAGAGAAGTCCAGGGAAAGAGAACAGCACAAACCAACCACGCAGCTCGTCAGTGATTCACAGAGTGGCACAGGAAACCACCCAGGGGAGCTGTTAAGGGGAAGGAATGATACTTCAGTTTGGTCAAGGAGTAAACGAATCACCTACAGCAGACTGTGAAGGAACATGAATGCTGTGCTGAAGAGCTCACGTCCGTGATCCTCAAGCTGCGGCTGAAACACCCCTTCCTTCCTCTTAGGGGCTCTGTCGGAAACCCTAGGGTGTGAAACAAATTATTGGGAACGTGGGAGTGTGTGCGTGTGTCTCATACACACACAAATACTGCAAAAAGGGCATGGAGGCGACATCTCCTAACTGTGGGAGGCTGCATGGGAGGCCGAAGGGGCCCGAAAATTACAGAACAGACAGCCGACACGATTCAAGTCGACATTCGTGGTCGGGACTAACTAACTGGCTATTTCCCCTCCCTTTTGCTTTCTTTTAAGTAAGTAGAATAGCCAGCCTCTGAGTTCTTCAGGTTTGTTACTTTCAATGATACATTCTTCCATGCATAACCCTCTCCCACCACTGGTTTCGGCTGAGGACTGTAACCTATGAAGCAAGACGATCCTGGAAAGATGACGCTACTCAGCTTCTACTAAGTCAGCTTTGCCCTGGGCTGTGCGGTGGAAACACAAGGGGACACTCACTCCTGCGACGGGTTTCTGGGACAACAGGGCAGACACACACACACACACACACACACACACACAAGTTCTGACCAAACCAGAAAGAGAAGAACAAAGCCATTCCTGGCCGTCCAAGGGATCGCCAAGCCCCTTCCCGTCCCCTGTGTAATTATGCTCACCCCTCTGCTGCGGGGTGACAGCCGTCTCAGAGAAACAAGTCTCTCTGCCTCCTTGGGGATCAACACACAATGAACTTTCTGCTTCCCACTTCAATCTGTTGTGATCTTCGTGACAGTGTGTAAGGACCTTGTTTTCCTCCAATACTGACCTCGTCTCACTTCACAAGAGGAAGACAGAATCACCATCAGCAGCCCAAGGCTGATTCCGATGAGGCCAGACATGCCACCACTCTCCAGCCTTTTACAAATTCTGATGCCAATCGTCCCTCCCACGGCATTCACTACTTCTTTGCTGGGTTCAATAATTTGTTGCAGTGGCCACACAGAGCTCACAAATACTCCCAATTATGGGGTTTATCAGGGAAGTAACAGGCTACAATTCCAAGTTCAAGAACATGCTCAGGATACAATTCTTTGATCAGAACAGTCTCTCCTCTGCTATGCCCTCAGACACGCCTCTCTGGCCCTTGGCCTGGCCTCTGCCCTGCTTGAGCAAATGTTACAAAGCTCTTTTAGCTCTGCCGATAGGTACGCCTAGGTGCACCCCACTCCACCAGCAAGCCCCCTGCCCAAAGGCACTCAGCTTTCTCGCTCCATGGGCCAGAAAGCCCACCACTCTGTCTCCTGGTTCCACTGCGGCCATCTCTCTGCCAGGGCAGCTCTCTCAACTGGGTGTCTCCCTACTGGGGCGTCTCTGCCAAGGAGGTCCAGTGCAGGGAGCTCGGGTCCAAGGACGCGCTCCACCTCGCCTCCAGCTCTTCTCTCTTGCTGGCAGTGAGAGCCCCCTCTGCCTCTAGAAAGGCTCATTCTGAGCCTGGCAGAGTGACAGAACTAAGCAGTCCCAACATCAGAGTTCTACACACCTTATTTGCATGGTCCCACCCAGTACTCCAGTGGGAGTTATAAAGACTGTGGCTGGAGAAGCCACACCGAGTAATTCACTACACCACACTCACTTGCAAGCAAGCCATTATGCCTTCCACCCTAGCCCAAACTGAGACTGCAGCTGTAGGGAACACTGTTACTCACTGGGTGTGCTCTTTCTCACGGGTGCTTTGGCAGAACCAGGTGGAAAGCCAACCCTTTAGATCTGTGACAACTCCGTACACCCCCATACGCCAGGCAAAGCCCTCTCATGGGAGGCTGCTAGTCCACGAGGGCAGAAGGGTTCAGCACTGGTCGGTGTTACGCGCCACGAATCAGCTCCAACTCATGGCGACCCTAACGCAACAAAACACCGCCCAGTCGTGTGCCAGCCGCACAATCCTCTGTGTCAGCCCATCTCGTTGAGGCTCTTCCTGCTTGTTGCTGACCCTCCACCTTACCAAGAATGACATCCTTCTCCAGGGACTGGTCCCCTGTGACCACGTGATCAAAGTAGGTGAGGTCAAGTCTGACCATTCTTGCTTCCAAGGAGCATTCCAACTGCAAGTGTTCCAGGACTGGTTGGTTTGTTTTTTGGGCAGTCCATGGTACTTTCAGTTTTCTCTGCCAATACCACAACTCAAAAATACAACTCTTCTTCACTCTTCCCTATTCACTGTCCAACTTTCACAAGCACGTGAGGCAACTGCAAACACCACGGCTTGCCTTAGGTGCACCGTAATTTATAAAGTGACCTCTTTCAGTAGCACGTGGGTCTAAAATAACACTCTCTTCATAAGGCTAGCTGAGTGTCAAAGGGTACCTACATCCAAAGCCAGGCCTGGAGGAGGCCAGAGAGGCACCTGGGGCCAACAATGACGTCGTGCAAATCAGGGTCGGTCCTGCTTCCTCCGGGCTCCTCGGCAGCTCTCCTGCCTCACACTCCCAGCCCTGCCCCCCTGTAACTTCTGGTACCTGCCTATGTCTGGGACGTATTTAAGCAAAAAGAAATGGGGCGATCAGGCCTGCAGACCTTCCCAGGCAGCTAGGACTGCCAGTCCAGGCCTCCGCCCGCCTTGGGAAGGCACGCCCCGCTGACGGAGGAGGGCCTTGGGAAGGCACGCCCCGCTGACGGAGGAGGGCCTTGGGAAGGCACGCCCCGCTGACG